AGTCTAACATGCATGCTTTCGGTCTGTGTGAGGAAACTGTAGTACCTGGAGAAAACCCACGCATGCACGGAGAAAATGTACAAACTCCACCCAGAAAGGCCCCCGGCTGGGATTTAAACCGGCAACCTGCTCGTTGAGCAGCGTCAGCTCTACCAACTGCGCCACTGTGCTGCCGTAGTTCAATCCGTCATCCAAAAACGATCTGTTAACGTTAGTCTGAACACAGCTTAGACCAATGTCTGCCGTCTTAAAAACGGCTTTGATCTTTAAATGTTCATAATTGTTTCATGCAAATGCTGTTTTCTAACATTTTACACTTTTGTTATCAACAGAAGTTCCTTACTAGGAGTGCTACAGCTAGCTGCTACATTTTTTGTTAGCAAATAATGATAGTTTCAGAAGAATAAGAGCGTATTGGTAAGTAAAGGGTTTGCATGAACCTTTAAGACATATTTTGGACTGGAGTTTTTTTAAGGCATCAGTAAATAACTTCAGTCTTGGATTAACCGTTAACTCATAAGTCCTGTCTGGTTAAAACCAATTTCTCCAAATTAAGATAGTATGAAGAGCTTTCTACAAAAAATACAGTTTTAAAATATTTTTAGAACCATACTGAACCATCCCTTTAAAAATTAAAGGGATCTTTTCTAAGAAGAGCAAACATTAACGATCAGTTTTGGGGAAACAAAGTCATTCGATATGAATACAATCTGAACTAAACATTAGTTTATCTAATGAGAAATGGCTGTCAGGATAAGTCATACCTTATAAGGCAAAGATGGAGAATTTCTTAGCTCTGCTTTTGTCTTACAAGAGGTCATTTTAATTATTAAGTCATTTATTTAGCAATTGATCCAAGTAATTTAGTCAAATGAAGACGGATGCAAGTTTATTATAGAAAAATGCTAACATTTCAAGCAGCAACAAACACTCTTCTTGCTTAATTTTAAAACATTTCAGACATTTATTTTGTGTTTTATGAGTTCAGACAGATTTTCCGTATTCAAAAAAAGCAATCGCCTTCAAGAACTGGCGCTTTTCCCTCTGTTTTAAAATGGAATATCTTATTTAAGCTGCAGTGATGTTGCTGCTCAGAGGCAATGCTTGGCTTGGCATCTACAACTGGACTTGGTGCCAAATACATATATGGGTCTGTATACAGCACCACACATACAAACATGTTTGACTGAATGGTATGCATGAACTTGAAACCAAGAACAGGCGTTCCATGTTTAGTTCAGTATGAATCATAGATCTTTGAATATTAAATAGGTCTGACAATGGATGGCTAACATCTGGATCTTGACTGTGTGGAAAGTTGAATAAATAACAGAAAATCCTCTTCCTGAGTGCCTTTTTGGTTCAGTTTAAAATGAGTAAAATAAAAGTAAAGACTCTTGACAGAGTTAAAAATAAAACGACATGAACAAATGCAGGCTATTATATAGAGGAATACAAAAAGAGGGCTGGAGAGAGGGGTGGGGAACACTGGAGGCACTGAGTGATTAAATGAATGTGTTGGGGTCCTGTGGTGACTCATCATTTCTGTTCAAGACCCATAGACACATGGTTTACCCCTGGGAGGGTGGCTGTTCATCCTCTGATATGGCCACGCTCTGACACACACTTGCACACACACACATACACACACTAACTCGCCTCCCTTGCTTCTTTGAAGCAGAGTCAGACCTGCAGATAAAAACAGTCATTGGTGTCCAAGAGCATTACAGGCACACTCATACACAACAGTATTTCAAAAAGGTTTAAAATTGTAGATTTAAATGTCAGATATCACATAAAGCTTTGTCACAAACACGGGAATAGAGATTTATAAATCAATATTTACTTTATTTCAAGCCATGGCTGATTCTATTATTAAAACTAAAAAAGACAAAGCTACAGAAATATTAAATCTAATACTGATGTTTCTTATAACCTAAAACTATACACTGAAAGAATAAGGAAATATTATAATTTTACAACAATCCATCCATCCATTATCTTTACCCACTTCTTCTTTTTTGGGTCACGGGGGTCACTGGTGCCCATACCCAGCAGTCACTGTGTGAGAGGCGGGGGACACCCTGGACAGGTCTCCAGTCCATCACAGGGACACATAGAGACAAATGAGACAAACAACCATTCATTTTCTCACTCACACCTAGGGGCAATTTAGAGTTACCAATCAGTCTAACATGCATGTTTTTGGTCTGTGGGAGGAAACTGGAGTACCTGTAAAAAATTCATGCATGCACGGAGAGAACATGCAGACTCCAAAAGATCCCGGGCCGGGATTTGTTCTGGTGACCTTCTCGCTGAGATGCAATAGCTCTACCAATTGATCCAATGTGCTGCTAGACTAAAACAAATGCAAAAATTAATTAAGAAGAAGAAAAAAACCAAGTGATTGCAAAAATAGCTTGCCAGAACAGAAACAATGTAGAAAGACATTGACTTTTTTTTCCCCTTATGATAAAACTGAAGTTGGATGTAGCCACTGTGATGGCCCAGAGGGTTGTGTTTCACAGCTTCAGTTTTGCATTTGACAGCTTTGGGTTCTGTGGGGGAAGGAAGCACATGTCAAGCAAAGGAGAAATGCTAGTTCAGCCATTATTGTTAGCGTTAGCTTGGCTAACATCCGTCCATTCTTTTTCTTTACCTGCTTTTCTGTGCTGGGTCGTGGAGTTGTGGGGTGGTCACTGGGCAAAAAAGCGAGGGGTACACCCTGGACAGGTCGCAAGTCCATCACAACACCACATAGAGACAAAAGAGACAGACATCTATTCAAAGCACTTTTGATCAATAGTTTTAGCAGCTAATGGTAGTGCATTCCCTTCCAACTGTACCAGTTTGGGCAGGGCAGTCCCAGATTTTGCCCCCCTGTCCCATGTCCTGCATAAAGAAGGGTGGAACACTCAAATGTCATTTGACATGTGCTGGCTGGGCTCACTTGTTTGTGCCATGTCTCTGTGGGAGTGGGGCTACAGAGGGGCTGTTTTGCGGGATTTCTGCAACAGCAATAGTGAGTGGGTGCCCTTCATCGCATCACTGGTATTCGCAAATACGTACAGGTGTCCCTGATTGCCATCAGCAAATGCTAGCAGGTATGCAACTGATATTGTCTGCTATGGTTATCTTTTCTCCACGTCCTGTCAAAATACTTGTGCAACTTTTAAGGCTCTCATTTGAGCTCAGACAGGTCCACTGAAAGATCTGTTCTCCTAACGATGCCTTTAGCTCCAACGTTAGCTGCTGACTGCATGGACCTTTTCATTGATACCATGTGCATACTCCGTCAGTATTTTGCAATGTGTTCTAGATAAATTCATGCCTACTTTTGGTTCATTCACATGCATCCTAATCTTTTTGTTGTTGATTTTGTATATTTGTTACTATCACTGACTCCTTATCCAGTGAAAATTTATTAGAAATTTTTCCCAAGTTTGATGTTTTATCTTTGCATTTACTTTTATAAATGGTTGTTTTTGTACCGATATATTCTGTCTTAGCTACCAGAGGTGTCTATGAGTGTATTTGGGCATGCGGTGCCTTGACCTCTTGCGCATGAAAAGGTTATGGATTCACTCAATAACTAACTGTGTGGTTTAAACGTCAAAGTTGAATGTTTTCTTATCCTAATCTGACACTAATTCATGTTTGCTGTCATTTTCCACAACTATTTCACATGCAACACTTCACCTGCTTTTTTAAGATCTGCTTTTATTTCTCTTACTGCATATTTAAAGTTACTACCATATTTTCCGCCGTACATGTCGCACTGCCCTATAAGTCGCATCAGTTCAAATATGTCTAATAAAGTGGAAAAATCCATAAATATGTTGCTTCACTATATACGTCACATCTATTATGCATCACAGCTGACGCGTCGCATTTGTTACGTGTCACCACTGACAACCCGGAAATGTGGGCCGAACACGGAAATGTGGGCCGGTGTTGTGCCAAAACATTGACTGGCTGCCAAATGGTGGCCGCGGGAGCGTGCACGGAAGGACTTTGACAAGAATTTAACAAGAGAAACAAAAGTATTATTAGTTTGCTCGAAATTATAGTAAAGGTGTGTCTCAGTCTAACTTTTGCTTAATAAATGCACTTTGACAATCAAATCAGCTGCATTTCAAAACCCGATACGCGGAAGTAGGAACACGCAGAGGGACGAGTCGCTGTGCAAATCTTCGAAATTTAACAAGCACCTAAAATAATTTGTTTGCTCGACATTATTGCAAAGGTGTGTCTCAGTTGAACTTTTACTTAATAAATGCACTTCACTGGTCAAATTAGCTGCATTTCGCCAAGGCGGCGCAGCAAAATTAAGTTGATTTGACGGTTGCTCCAAGCGAGCTGGACGAAGGTGGCAGCTGTGGCAAGCTGACTGTGTTATTAATAGCTACTTTTACCTGTTACATTATCTAACAGCATGCTATAGTGCTCTGCTGCCATCTAATGGCTGAAAATGGTAGTGTTCAATTTTTTAGTCAGAATGACTGAAAAATGGTCATATCTCAGCCAAAAATGGGTTTATAAATATGGGGGAAAAAATCCATAAATAATTCACTTCAGCGTATAAGTCGCAGGGCATGCAAATTATGGAAAAACTGTGACTTATACAGCAAAAAATACGGTACTAACCTTATGTGTATTTGACTCTTCCTATAGGTGCTTATATGATGTGATGATCCATCATCTCCAACTCCTCTTCTGTTTCTTTTTTAGCCCATATTTTTGTCCCACAATTCTGTTCAGCTCATCTCTGCTTCATTAATTACTAATTAACTTTCCTAAAGTCCCACAGCCCACTGAAAGTCCCAGAGGAATGCAGCTACATGTAGTATTTAATCACTTGGTGTGCTTGTGCAGAAATATGTGCGGGGGTTAAAATATGTGTGTGACTATATTATAATTCATACCACAGAGTATTTGTTTGAGGATGAGTGTAAAAAAGAGGTTAATTTAACTGTATGTGTTTTCTTTGTATCAACAGGAGGCGACAATATGACAGACATGCAGGAGATCGCCATCACAGAGGACAAGCCTTTACTTACGGGTCAGGCTGATCCTGCCAAGGTCAGAAAGGCTGCAATATGTTCAATCAAATACAGTATATGTGCACACTCATTATTAATGTACTATTTTTATATAACTGCAAACATTAAAGTATTTGCAGACTGAATGCAATCCAAAAACACAAGCACTTATTCGGTGAATATTAGCTACAGACAGCAGCTGTAGAAGCCAGAGCTCATGAGAAAAAAACAAAACAAGATCTGGTCAGTGAGTCCTCTGCTGTGCATAAATGTGACATGTTTTTTTTCCCCCCAAATATATAATGTAACATTTGTGATATCTCTTTGCATGTCAGTTTAAGTGTGTGTATCTGTGTGTAAAGCTGTAGCAGTGCTTGTTTGTATCTGTCAGCCTGACGTCAAAGCCCGGAGGGCGCTGCATCTGCACAGCAGCTTTGCTGCAGAGAGTCAAGCTGATTGTGACTCATGACTGATGCCTGGTTGACAAACAGGGAACTGCAGCGCTCAAAAACAGAATGAAGATAAGAGATATAAAAGATATAAAATAATGTAAACTCTTATTTGACCTCAAATCACATGCTCGTAATGAAGAACAAAACCTTTTAGGGAATTGGATCAGGAAATTTTCTTAACTATTGTATGAATCTTAATACTATGGTTAATTATGGTAGGTTGGTATGGACAAGTGAGTAAAGAATTTAAAGAACTTTTGATATTTTTAAAACAGATTTTCGGCTGTGTTCTTCTCATCCAAATGTATGCACCAAGAGGAGAGTTCAGGAAAACATCATTTGAACAAAGTAGAGATTTTAAACTTTTGTATTTAGACTAAAACTTTTCAGGGAAAAAAAGTTAAAAAACCTACCAGTAGGAAAGACTTTAATGACCCTTAGGAGAGGGGGCAGTGATATCAATCTGCATGTGAATCCAACTAATAAAGTATCTCGCTCACCTCAAATATCACAACTCCACACTCTCTAGTTCTGAATGGAAAAACATATTCATGAAAACAGAAGATTTGTTTTTTAACTCTTAAGATTTTCAGAAAGAATGACGTAGAAGACTATTTTGCACATGCTTAACTACTTTGTGCACTAGAAAGCAGAAAAACTCTGGAACTTTTTTTATGCATTTTGTCTTAGTTTAACCTGATCCTCTCGCTGTCAAACTTTTATCATGTGGTAAATAATGTTAAAGAAAATACAAGTTCTGGAAGAATCTTTAGCCAAACTAAGTTCTTTCTCTGTTTTTTATATGGTGCTGCTGTGGACGCTCTCACCATCTAGTGGAGGAGTGTGGGTGTTTCAGCGTTTTTGTTAAAATTATATAGATGGAATTTTGTGTTTAATAAACAAAGAACAAACTGCTTTAAAATATAAATTACCATGTAGACAGAGAAATTAAATTAAGCTCGTTGGTGCAGTTTTTTTCATTGACCAGGTTTCGATCATAGCGTGTGTTCCATCTATCGTGGGATCACACTTCTCGCCCTCCCCAGGAAAGCTTACTCCTGCTGTTGGTTACTCCTGGGTTGCTTTTAAGGGATACCTGCTTTGGTTCTTGTTTAACCAAAGCAGGAACTGTGTTCGCATTCTTGGTACAAAGTCGGACTTGTCTCCAGTGTGGGTTGGACTCCGCCAGGGCTGTCCCTTGTCTCAGATCCTGCTTGTGGTGTTCATGGATAGGATCTCGAGACGCAGTCGGGGAGAGAATGGGGTCTGGTTTGGAAATCTCAGGATCCCATCTCTTATTTATGCAGATTTTATTTATTATTATTATTTTTTCTCTGTGCTCCGGTGAAGACAGACGATTCTCCATGTGCTCCATCCCTCACGCTTCCCTGCTTGCTCTCTTTTGTCTTATGACCTTAAAGAGTCTCTTTTTTTTTTCCTGCATACCTTCCTAATTCAAAGGATTTGATCAGCTGGTCTCTCAACAAAATTGATCAACTTCTCCCGACAGGAGTCGGTGTAAGGAGGACCCTCTTTTCTCAACGGAAACAAATTGGATTCATGATGACAACTGGATTTGCTGTTTGGGTTGGTGAAATCTGGATTGTCTACAAATTTGTGTGGATGTGTCAAAGCTTGGTAGCACTCAGACTGAATTATGTGGAGCTGCATCAGAGCTGGAGCAGGCTGTTATCAGGACTGTGAACTTTCTGGCAGCACCCATGAATGGTTGGGAATAATCTTGGCGAAATCTGTGAGCTCGACTTTCGGCATAAGGAATCAATTCGGCTGTTTGGAGTCACCGTCAGAGAATTGTACCAGCAAGACTTAAAAGGCAGAAATGGCCATTTATGAGTTCTGCTTGACCCAAACTGTGGCCTTGACGGCGGACTTATCTCAACTTCTCCTGGCATGTTTTGAAAATAACAAAGATGCTTTGACTGTCTCCTCATCCCTCCCTTCTCAAGGCTGTGGACATGTGACAGAACCTCAAATGAGCTGATGATAAATAACACCTCTTATCTGGACAATGGCTGAGAGGGGTGGGCTCTGGATTATGCTACGGCCTTCCCTTAAAATTCAATGTCTTCACCGGCCTATATGTACAAGTATCACGTCTATTTATGTTGCTTTGCTAGTTTTTTTTATGTCCCAAATCGTGCCCTGTCTAGTGCAAGGTGTGAGAGATCTTTTTTTTAATACATTTTCTCCTCATGTTTTCTTCTCTTTTTTCATCTAAGCAAAATATTATTCTGAATAAGAATAAAAGGGCCGCGCTTATAGCAGCAGCTTTGTGCACTCCACCCATCTTTCGGATGACTATACGTACATGTTCTCGTTATATCTCTGTGCAATGATAATAAAGCTTATTATGATTCTGATGATTTGGTTCTGTTGGCGTCTTCAGGCAAAGACCTTCAGTGTGCACTAGGTGGTTTGCAGTCGAGTGTGAAGCAACTGGAATTAGAGTCAGTTCCTCAAAGTCTGAGGCCATGGTTCTCGACCAGAAATGGGTAGAATGCCCCCTCCGAGTCGGAGGCGACTGTGCTTTAGGTGGAGTTCAAGTATCTGGGTGTCTTGTTCATGAATGATGGTTGGATGGAGCAGGAGATGGATGGATGGATAGGGGGCCTCATCCTCAGTTTAGGGCTCTGCTTCATTCTATTGTGGTGAAGAAAGAGCTGAGTTGAAAGGCAAAGCTTTTAATTTACTGATCTGACTTTGTTTCAACCCTCTACTATGGTCATGAGGTTTGGATCATGACTAAAAGAACCAGATCCTGGATGCATGTAGCAAAAATGTGCTGCCTTCACAGGGTGGCCGAACTCAGCCTTGGAGAATGGGTGAGGAGCTCCATCATGGGGGGCATGCTCGGAGTAGAGCCACAGATCCTCCCCACTGAAAGGAGTCAGGTGAGGTGGTTTGGGCATCTGATTAGGATGCCCCCTGGACACCTCCCTTAAGAGGTTTTCCAGGCACATCCCCCTGGTAGGAAGCCTTGGGGAAGACCAGAAAACTCTGGAAGGATTGTGTATCTTCTCTGGCCTGGGAACACCTTGGGATCCTGCAGGATGACCTAGAAAGTGTTGATGGGGATGTCTGGGTTTCTCTCCTAGACCTGTTGCCTCCACGACCCGAAGTGGTAGAAGATGAAGAAAAAGATGAAGAGATTTCTCTATTTTCTTGTCACTCCCCCTTCTCCTCTTTAAATTCTCACATTGCTAATTGTCCAAGAGCATGTCAAGCCTGTAATTTATAAGCGTGGGTTAATGGATCCAAAGATAAAAGTGAACCAGCCTTTTAACAGCCACTGCTGGACATCTGCCATATGATGCCTAGCACACCACTTCCTAGTCTGAAGAGCTTCTCTGCTGCTTTATCAGCAGCGTAAAGCCTCTCATTATGCATCTCTGGGGGATGTTTAGGAACTAAAGTGTCACCTAACATAAAGGGTGAAAAAAGAAGACAAGGATTTTTTCTTCTTGGTCCAGTTTTTACTGGGAAAACACTAAAATAAACATAAAACAAAAGTAGTTTTATTCTTTATTGTTTTTCCTGTAAGATGAATTTAGTTGAACCTGACCCAGGTCAAATGATATAAATACAAGTAATTTAGTGTTACTCTTGCACAAGCTCATAACCAAAATCATCCAGGTAATTAGGTTAGTTCTTTGCCATTTTATCTAGAACAAAATTTGATTATTTTCTTATTTAAAATGGTTTTTAAAAAATATTATTTTGCTAATGAAACTACTGCCATGTTTCTAACAGGATGCTGCTGAACTAGCTGCTAGGATACTCCTGGACCAAGGACAGGTAAGACTGCCATAGTCTCATAACTGCAGTTAAATGACCCAAAGAATATATTTAATTATTGTCAAAAGACAAAAATTGGTTATTGTCTCTCAAATAAATACATCATTTTTGAAATGGCTAAAAACTGAAGTTTGAACACGACAGCAACCAAGGATTTATTCAGAGACGTCTCCAGTGTTCAAAAATTCCATCAGCGAAAAGGAAACGTGCAAATTAACTGCAGACAACTCAGTAAATATTATATTTAAACCTGTTGTTTTCTGCCAGAGGCAGCATATTCCAAAAGTTTTATCAAAACCAGACATGTGTAGAAGTACTAGGTGCCAGGTTCTCGGTGACATGATGAAGGGAGAAAAAGGCTGTAAGAGTCAACAGTTAGCATGAGCAAATCCAATGACATTTTTAAAGATTTAATGAACAGAAATTTAAAAGCTACCAGTAGTTTAACCTTTTTGACTGAAGATAATCTAAGAATCAACATCCAGTTCTGATGCCTTCTGAAGGACACATCTGGCTGTTAAACAGGAGTCAACAGCATTCAGTGTTTCCCCTAGTTTACTTGCCTTGGCAGGGCGCTTATATCTTCCGTGATTTTTGTCAGAGACTCATTGCGTGCTGTTTGTACCGACAGTTTTCGAGTGGGGGTGGGGGTGGAGATGGCTCAGCGTAAGGGAGACGGAGTGCTACCTCCATAGTCACAGCTTTTTAGATAGCGCACCATCTGTATTGCGCCACTAGCTTAGCGCTACGTCAGTGCCGGCAGTTGGGATAGCCAGGGCGCTCGGTTCTGTTGACAGGGCAGGGCGCCCTGCGTGTAAAATGCCATGAACTTTACAAAAGACAGAATTCACATGCATTCATCTTAAGGATCTGAAGCTGTCCACTTTGATGTCTTTATGGGATTTTAGACAATTGATAAGTTCAATAGAAAAATCAAAGCAAACATGTTCCTGTTTTTAGTATTTTAGTATTTTACTTTGTTTAATAAGGCACCTTGATTTAATTTTGTTCTATAACACTGCTTTTTATTTTTATTTTATTTGCGTTTTATGGCTGTTTATTGTTGTGTGTACCATATCTGTGATTCTGTCTAAAACAGGTCTCTCTTGAAAATGAGTCCTCGTGACTCAATGAGACTAACCAGTGTAATAAAGGTTGAATGAATTCAAGCAGTTTGGTGCTTACTTGTAGATCGTTTTTTATTATTTTGTTTTGGAACTATCTTCAATTGCATTTAATTTAATTTTAATTTTTTGGATAAAAGACGAAATGTTTCAACAAAGAAGAACCATTCAGAGGACCTGACAATCTTGTTAGATTTATCTACCTGGATTATTGAGCAGCATCAGTAGAATCTTATTACTTTGTTTTTTTACAGTATTTGTTTTGTGTGTGTGTCCCCTGGCATTTCATGGGCTCTGTAGATTCTAACAAATCCCTCCCCAAATTAATTAATTCATTCAACCTTTATTTATACAAGTTAGTCTGATTGAGTCACGAGGACTCATTTTCAATAGACCTGTTTTAGACGGATAACATATAGAACACAGACAACAACAAAAAAACAATAGGGGGCCGAGATGGTGTAAAGGCAGGGCAGCCGACTCGGGACCTGAAAGTCCCAGGTTCAATCTCCAGTCATAGCACATCTCGTGGTGTCTCTGAGCAGCACACCCTATCCCCAAATTGGTCCCCAGGTGCTTTCAATAACTGCCCACTGCTCCACCTGGTGGTGGATGGGTTAAATGCTGAGATCCAATTTTGCCATTGTTTGAGAACATGCAATGATGACAATACATAACACATTAAAAAGCAGTTAAAATAAAAAGTACTGTTATAATAACAGTCAAATCAAGATGCCATATAAAACAAGGTAAAATATTAAAAACAAGTAAAAACAAGAACATATTTGACAACAAAGTTCATGCTCAATCATCCAGATAACAAATCCAATAATTCGCAGTCAGGTTATCTGGACAGACTGATGAAGCCCTCCGGATAGAGGGCGAAACGTCTCTATAAAAAAGAAACTGTCCAGATGACCTGACTGAGAAATATTGGAAGAACATATTTGCTTTTGATTTTTCTAATGACCTTATCAAATTCGGTCTGTACTGAGGGAACATTGCAGGTAATTAAGGCCTGAGAGCGCACGCTGTAACTGCACTGATGACGTGACGTGGGAGGAGATATAAGAAGGTCGCAGACCAAGGAGAGATTTATAGATGAAAATGAACCAGTGTGAGAGCCCACGAGTAGATAATGATGACCAGCTGACCAAGGAGTACAGGGTACAGTGATGGGTACAGTACAAACAGTTATGAATCTTAGCACACCATGGTAGACAGCATCCAACATCTGCAAGGAGCTGACAGGGGCATTCATGTAAATAATGTCACCATAATCAATGGCAAAAAAGTAAAAAGTATCGGTTACAAGGTGTTTTCAGAGTTAGACACTATCTATTTCTGAAAAAGAAACCCAGTTTTAATTTCAGCTTCTTAGCAAGTTTTCAACATGTGTCTTAAAAGTGAGGTGTGCATCAACTAAAATTCTCAAGTATTTGTAAGAATCCACAAAACTCAATAGGAATGCCATGCATGGATGAGATAGGAGGAAGAGTTGCTGGTTCTGATTAAAAGAGAAGTATTGACAAACAGATGCTCTTCTACGATTGTGTTCATTCGTCTGATGTTGACTCCAGGCGCACAGTGTTGAGACCCCACACGGCGTTCTACACGTGACCCTCCACGGCACACGGACCACCCGCAGGCCCGCCATCCTCACCTTCCACGATGTGGGTCTGGACAGTAAGTACCCCTCCCTTTACTCAGCCTGTTTTAATTCATGCTCACTCGCTCATCAGTCCACTCTTCACTCCCTCTGTCTCTTTCTTTGGCAGGTAAAAGCTGCTTCTCTCCTCTGTTTAAGTTTGAAGAGATGCAGGAAATTGTCAAGAATTTCACCCTGATTCACATTGATGGTCCTGGACAAGAGGAGGGGGCCCCCACTTACCCCCCAGGGTACGGCGTTCTCTCTGTGTGTTGTACTAACCAGCTGGTGTTTCATCAGTAGCAACTTCTTTTTCCACTTCAAATAAAATTCTTTGCACAAGCTTCTGTACAAGCTTAAAAGTAATCCCCACTAAAAATACCCAATGTTCCCATCTCATATATCTTCCTCTCACGGTTCGTTAATACGCTTTTGTCAGAGGTTAAAACTAAATCCTCCACTTTTCTCTTTTCCACGCTTCGTAACCCCTGTCTCTCAGCCCGACTCTGTTCCTTTTCTTTGAGTGATTGTCTTTGTGGCTCAGGAGGATTTTGTTGCACGTCTTCTCCCAATACTAACCTGTGACCCTGCTGATGATTCAACAGACTCTTACGTTTTAAATCCCAGTGACTAGAAAGTCTTAGACACTGTTGTCTTTAAAGTAGGTCAAACATGAAAACCAGACTGCCTTATTGTTACAGTTATTAAAGCTGTCCAGTTATTTGGAATTGTTAAAAGGAATCTGAGAAATACTCTGGGTTCCATTGGTTATATCACATCCATAGTCCAAATCCATTGGTTTTTATGTAGGAACACTATTTGATTTACGTTTTTCCTTATACCGGTAGCTACCAGTATCCGTCCATGGAGACCATAGCTGAGATGATCCCTGCTGTGCTGCAGTTTTTCAAGTGAGTCAACGTTTGATTTAGCTCAGTTTTACTGTTGTACACACAAATACAGAGTCAGTAAATAACTGTGCTTTTCTGTGTCTGCTATGTATTCATGTGTATCCACCCCCAAATATTCTTTCTGTTTTGTTGCCTTACCACCTAGATGTTAAATACATTTTCAGTTTGATCAAGACCTACACAAAACACTCCAGATTAGTGGGTAAACTTGTTTTATGTACCCTCCCAAAGTCAATCCTGTGTCGATCGACGTTTAGCAGCTGTTGAAGTGTCAAGTCTCTTCAGGTACATCCTAACAGGCCTGGTCCATTAAGACACTGTATTTTTTGTCCATCGTGACCAAACTGTTCCAGCTCTTTCAGGTTGGGTGGTGTTGTGTGTGTCTAACAATCGTCACATCAAACCAGAGATTCTCAGTTGGATTGAGGTCAGACCTTTGACTGTTGATCAGATCTCTGCAGTGTGCAGTTTATAGTGGTCAATAGTGGTCCAGTTGTCAGATCCTCCCATCTCTGCTGAGGAGCTTGCCCTGCCTCATCTTGGTTATATTGGCCTCTTGGTTGCTTCTCCTTGTTCCACCCTTGAGTTTTGGTAGGAGGCCCTATCTCAGCAGGTTTGCTGTGATTGCAGCATCCTTCCATTTTTAATATTGGATTTATTGGTGCTGTATGGGATGTTCAGGGTTTAGCATATTTTTTTATAACTCAACGTTTAGTAGGTTTGTACGTTACCTTTCCATAACTTTGTGTCTGACCTGTGTGGACAGTTTCTTGGTCTTCATTCTGTTTCTTGATTGGATGTAGACCTCACTACTTAGAGGTGTTGAACTGCTGTTGCTCTGGTGGGCTGATCCAAGTGGTGCACTGATGTTTTTGACTCTTGGATTGTCCACAGAGCAATCTTGTAGAACACAAATGTTGTGTTGCTTCTAAAGTTAATGGTACAAGCTTCTAAGCATTGAGGGTGTCTACTTATGTGAAAACCACTTTTCAATTTTTTTCACAGTTTTTACAGTGATTTAATATATAGATATATGTCTAAACTTCTTTTGGCTGCTCACTTCTTCACAGATCGCCACAGTGAGCAAATTTACATGTTGGTATTTGTTTTATGCCGGACCCGTAACCTCAGGATTACAAGACCACGGCACTGACCACCAAGATCTCTCTCTACACACGTAGATAGATAGATAGATAGATAGATAGATAGATAGATAGATAGATAG